ATCAATAAGTCTACCAATCACAACAATAAATCTACCACAACCACAAATAAGTCTACCACAGAAAAATAAATCTACCACCACTATAAATAAGTCTACCACTACTACGCATAAATATACCGTTACTACTCAATAAGTCTACCACTACTTTCAATAAGTCTACCACTACTATAAATAAGTCTACCACTACTATTAACAAGTCTACCACTACCTGAACCGTAATAAGTCTACCGACCACTTAATAAATCTACCACAACTACAAATAAGTCTACCGATCCCAATATTAAATCTACCAGAACTACAAATAAGTCCACCACATTTTATAAATCTACCACAACTATAAATAAGTCTACCATCGCGTTCACCATATTAAGTCTACCAGATGTTTAATAAGTCTACCATAACAGAATGGTAGACTTATTTCATTTTGGCGGGAAAAAATTTCGCCTAATGGCAGTTTCGTAAATACGTTTTTGTCTTCAAAGGAAAAAAAGTTAACATAGGAATTAAAAAATTTTCAAGTCCATTCTATTAATATTCAAAGATAAAGGTCATTCTAGTCCTAATCTTTGCTTGACATTCTAGTAAATTACCCTTATATATATACCTTGAGTACTATGCTTAAAAATGAATTTATTATCAACAAAAGTTTTTGAATATTTTTGAAATTTGTTTTTTTTATTCCCCACAACCAGAAAACATTGTGGATCCGCGACCGTCGGAAGTTTTCACCGGAAAGCTCTGTGGAGAGATGTCGATGGGAAACGACACGACGTGGGTCGGGAAGAAACCGATCAGACGCATCGGCGGATTGTCTGATGCTCTCGCCATCGCCTCCGATCTTGGTTTCGCCGTCGCTCCTCCTCCGTCGCAGGTAACTTACCAATCGCTTCTGTGATTCCCGTAGCTCTTAACCTAAATCTCACCATTTTCGGAATTTCGTCTCCCATTAGTTCGATTAGCTGAGTATATAGTTTATACTCTGTATTTGTTGCTGTTAGATTTGAAATTCAGGAACAACAATGCTTATGAGATCTGTAATTTGAGAAAATATAGAATTTTTGCTGCTTGTGTGTTATGTGAAAAACCATATAGATCTTAGATCTATGAACTTCTTTTCTTTGCTCCAATAATCTCTGAGCTTAAACTATTGAATCTGAATCTGTCCTGAATTTGAGAAGATTGATGGTAATTTATCTGTTTGTAATCATTCATGTTTCATATCAGTCATATGCTTCAGTCAACAAAGTGGTAAGTGGTAATGCACATTGGAATTGAGCTTATGAACTAAATTCCTTTGCCCTGTAGGAAGAATTACAAAGCTTGGCGTTTTCAAATGGCGAAAGAGGTGACGATTTAATAAGGGTCTTGAGAGAATTATCTGCTGTCCAAAGGAAAATTGCAGACTTGCAGGTCGAGCTTCAAGGGAGAAAGGTATTTCTTTCAGGGATTGTTTCTTTTTCCGAAGTGAAATAAGATATGGATTATGAATTTGCATTGCCTGAAAGCCGCATGATAACTTACGGTTATATCTGTAACACGGTTTGCTAAATGCTTTGTATCTAAGTTCTTTTTTGGTGAATTTCAGGATGATAAAAATGTGGCACATTTGACTCACGTGAGTGAAATGCAAAAGAAAATCGAGACTCTGTCAAGGATTACTCAAATATTGAAGGACGTTATACAAAACAAGGTAGAAAATTTCTCCTTTTTAACTACTTCTAATCTAGTTTTATTCAGTACCTACTTTATTGTTCTGAAAATTGAGAAGTTCGAGTTCTCGCTTAAGATGTTTTGGAAACTTTCGCTCCGTGAGGGACTCCTGAGACATTCCTATCTTTTCTTCAATTTGTGAACCTCTAGCTAAAGTCTCTTGCATCATTTGTCTGTCTATATGGCAGGATCGCATCATTGCTCGTCTCCAACAACCTTATTCGCTAGATTGCATTCCAGTTGAAGCAGAATATCAGGTGAGTCATGTCATTTAATTGTATATGCTGCTTTGAAGACCAACTAAGCCTTATTGCTCTAGTTATCCAAAACTTGATACGTATCTGAAATTGCACAGCTTCAAAAAGGAAAGGCTTTGCCTGATGGTTTTGTTCTGGTCTTATCTTTCAGAAACAATTTTCAGAGTTGCTAATGAAGGCCGCCAGTGATTATGGTGCCTTAACAGCATCAGTGTCTGATTTTCAGTGGAGCCAAAACTTTAAAGAACCTCCTACAGTCTGGGGGGTATGATTTTACTCTCATCTGGTTTTTTCATTTACATCTTTCACACATAACTCCACATGGTTCGTGCTTATATTTGGCATACTCTCTCTGTTGGGATCCAATAAAATGTGAGGAAAAGTCTAATAGGTTACACTATGCCGTGCTATCGAGAATAAATTGCAGAAGGGTTTTCTCTGCAAGCTAGAAAGTTAGACCAATTGTATCATCAGGGCATTTAACTACTTTGTGTATTTATCTGTTTATAGTCTCTTTGCATAATGTGTTGCACAACCATTGATTTGGGTTTTACATGCTCTGATCTCAATTTGTTTCTCTTCCCCCCCAAATTATAGGAAATGCTGCGTCCAATTCCGGTGGCACTAGCGTCATGCACGAGATTCTTTGAGGCCATGTCTGCAATGAGAGAATCATTTGCGACTCTTCAAGAACTTAGAGTTGGTAACTCTGCGCCTTCTTTACCAACAACACCAGGAGGGAGCGACATGACGCATAGAGACTCAGATTGTGTGACTCCACCTCAAGGCAGAGCTGATTCAAGCTTCGACGACTTAGCTGTTCAGGGCACAAGGAGACTTAACAATGACCAATATGAAGGAGAAGAAGATGATGATAGTAACAATGAGAATGGTCAAGTTGACCGGAGACTATCTTGGCCACCTTCGGTTAAGAAGAGTAGTGTTTAACACAGG